CCCGCACCGAGCGGGCTCCGCGCGGCTCCCGCACCGAGCGGGCTCCGCGCGGCTCCCGCACCGAGCGGGCTCCGCGCGGCTCCACTGAAGGGGCAAGGAGCGCCGGCAGGGAGCAGCCGCAGCACGGCGCCCGCCCGCCGCGGTGTGGGAGGACCGAGGGAGCCGGGCAGGGGCACGGAGAGGGCGTTTCCAGCCCCGTACGCGGAGACGAAGCCGGGCAAGAAGAGCGGGAAGCTCTGCTCGTCACTGCTCCGGTTTTAACACTGACTCCAGGTATTGCTCCCAGTGTCCCGGAGTGGGTGAGCAGAAATCCAGATTTATCCCCAGGGCTGTGGTGGAGCGATCCTATCCCGGGATCGTTCACAAGCGAGCGCTCCCCGGCCCCTCCCGTGAGCGGTGGGAGCCAAGGGCAGCCCCTCACAGGACAGGTGACACCCAGGGCACGGCCCGCCAGAGTTATCAGCTAAGAACTGAAAACAATCCGAAGGGATAAACTAAATGGTCCGAACCACTAAATTGCTATTAAAGAGGGCCAAGAATCTGCCCTAAACAAAGCGGAGTTTGGCCTTGGGAAGTAATAATGGATTTGCTAAAACATGGGCACAGGAACATCAAGTGAGATTTCTGGGTTTTCATCCTCCCTGTGTAGGCTGGGCCTCCATTAAAGCACTAGTCATACAGTCTTACAGACTTTTCTCGGAGCTAGTAACTGGTTTTTCTCCCAAAGGATTGTATACACACACAAATTCTACTGCTAGAGCAACCTGAATAAGCATGAACAGAGACTCGCATCTCCTGTGCAGTTCATCAGTAACACCCAAACCACTCAAAGCTGACTTTGGCTGAATATGTAACATTCAATTCACCCATTCACACAAACTAGCTACAGCAACACGTGCCATTATTTGACTTTAGCCCTCTCAACTTGCTATACACTTACGCTTCTTTTCAACACAAATTGCTACTGTAATAATTATGTCGCTCCTAGCAACTCTCACAAGTCACATCAAACAGATTTCTGTAGACATTACTAATAATTTAATATTTCCTTGATGAAGATGTTCCTATTTAAGCAGACACTATATACCACATGAAAACTTCCATTAGATGCAGTTCACGTTTAAAGTCTAATAAGTATTTAATCTATCCACACAGTTAGAAGCTAGGGGGTCGGCATTTTTCCTTTAGTGAAATGTAGGATGACATTTTGAGCTAGTTTTAAGACTTAACTAGATGCAAAAGACTCCTGAAGCCAGTTGTAGAACTAGCTTGGTTCTTTGTGATTTTGGGCTAAGATTTCAAACAGTACGTATAGGACTTTCCTCAATGGCTAGACAAATTCTATTTTCAGCTGTACAACTCTGTTCACGTAACAGCAAGCTGTCCTAAACATGTCCAAGAGCTTCCTTCCAGTCACCAATGTAAAAGTTCTTTGAGTGGACTTTGTGCTGCATTGAGTAGAGTTGATAAGGATATCATGGAACTAAAATAGTGTTAAATATTTGTTAATGTGTAACTGCAGACGACTCCCAGTTTCTCTTTAGTATTAGCCTTCCTGATTTAGAAGGCAAATTGATGGCATGAAACAGTGACATTTTCAAAAAGAATATAGTTACAATAGTTAGAGCAGGTATCATTGCTCCACAGCAAGTACTGTCTCTCTCATTGTTTGGACTCACCATCTCAGTAACCTTCCCATGCTAATTGATGGATCAGCTCCTATGTTTCATTTTTAAAACATATACTATTCATACTAGTAAACTAGTTTGAATTCCACATAACTTTTGAGTGAAGTTGCACTCTAATCTTATGCAACAATCAATAAGTACTGATATTTGATTTAAGATCAATTACATTGTAATATACAAGGAATGCAAAGGCCTGCTCAATTCACTCTAGTAATTATTATTGCAACACTTGAGTAGAAAATTTTGTTTTTTGCAGACTAAGTATATGAACTACATATGAGTTTTGGCTTAATTTATAGCTGCTACTAATCATTGCACTTATTAATCACCCTATCTCATAATTCATTTTGTAAGTGAAACTATGGGGAATCAGAAAAAGCATCTCTCTCTTTTCAGAACCAAGAAATGAAAAAAAAATCTTGTAAATGAAAACTGATCTACAGGTTTTAAGGGAGGAGCTTGTTTGCTTTGATGTTTTTAATCAGACCATTGTAACACTGCAGTGGTGTCACATTGCAGTTCCATTAAAAGGAGGAAACAAATTGCATACACCTCCTAAAAACTGCAGATAGTGAAGGAGAAATTACATTGCAGACCTCCAGGTTTAGTGTTCTTCTGAATTTGTTAAAATATACAGCATCTGGAAAACATTCAAAAATGAGAATATGCATAGTAGTTGCTCCAGTAATTTTACAAGAAAACACTGAAAGATTTCAAGAGTTCACAAGGAAGTACAGCCACAGTGTTCCTAGTAAATATTTTCCTTAATTCCACCTCTAGTCTTCAATGAGGTGTGGCACAGAACAATTGTGCATTGAAATTTTAAGACTTACCAGTATTTGCTGGTGGTGGCATCAAACTCTTAGTGTTAGTTCAAAAACAGAAGAACTCATGAAGAATTTCTCCACATGATTTTATCATGAGCACAATTTTAGGTATCACTAGCATTAATAAAAATATTTTTCCAGGTACAGTTAATGTTTTATAAAGCCTTGGAGTACTTGTTAATCAACAAGGTTTCCTTTGGTCATGTTCCCTCCCTCAAATGCTTCAGCATTCGGAAAATAATTTCCAATGTCACTGAACTAAAAATCCTTCTTGCAAGAGTCGTCATATTACATCATTTGTAACTACAAAGAATGTACTTGTATGCCAACATTGTTGGTGTTATTTGTCTACTTATAAAATATCAGATCCCAGGTTATTTTAAAATAACAATGAAATTTTACAATAGACACTGTAAATTGTGTATTTACACTATAAACAACTTCTACTACATTTGCAACTTTGCATCAACAGTTTAATATAGACATTTTAAAAGCACCCTTACAAACAAAAGTATTGCACTGGCATTATAAAAATTCACAGTAAGTTTAACTTCCAGACCTTGTTAAAAAACAGTGCAAGAGCTTTTCATTGTGCAAGAGCTTTTTATCCAAACCTTGCAGGTTATTAAAAATAATAAAAATTAAAACAAAGCAGTAAAACCAACCATATGACAAGATACAGTGATTTTTCGGCGAATCAGTTTCAATTCTTTTTAGCTCTCACTTCTTAAAGAGATTTTGTGGGATCTTTTTTCACCATTTCAAAGCATGTCCAGTCCAACACTGAAATAGGTGCATTTGGCAAAGATATGGTTCCACGTGTCCATTTTATGGAGAATCCACAATGCTTGCAGAGATTATTCCACAATGAGAGAATCCTATTGTTTTGAGTAGGGAATCTCTTTCCACGATTTGCAGCATTTCCCCCACTTTTTGGGGCACTAACATCAATAGTCATGTCTTCAACAGATCCTGAAGATAACACATGAAGAAAAGGTTACTCCAAAATAGTCTTAGCAAAAATGGCCATATAACTCTAAATTGTTAGTTAAGGTCAATCTTAAAAGTACTTTTCCTCATGTTTAGCAGCCAATTGGGACCCAAAGGAAAGATCCATCAAGTCACTAGCCCATCTCCAATAGTGGCCAAGTGTGATGTCTCAATAAAGGCATAAGAATATGGCACACATATTCTTAGTAATATCTCCTCAGGTAAGTAATATCTCCTCAGGATATCATCTCAGTTGCCACTGACTGCCCCAGGTTTTCCTGAACCAAACATAGTATCTATACACCTCTTCTGCTTTGTCTTTTGGATTTTTGAATCAGTAAATTTTTATCTGTCCCACTGTCCTTTGTCAAATAATGCCACACTTCTATTACACAGCACATGACAGTTTGTTTGTTCCTGCTTTGCTTTGGGAGACATGCACTTCATACCTTTCCCATAGTGACTGTATAGATTTCTAGAACACTTTATACTCTGCATCTCTTTTCAGGCTTAAGGATCCTAAACTAATTGTTATTACTTTAATAGAAGCATTCCATGTCATGAAAATTCTCACCTTTCTCTACTATATAATTTTTAAAATGAGAAATCAGAACAACATGTAGTGTTCCTTTCATAACTTCAAAAAGTTAATTCTCAAGGAGGTTTCCAAATGGCCAGGGCATTTGGATTTTTTTAGGTTTTTGGTGTTTTGTTTTTTGTGTTTGTTTGTTTGTTAGGTTGGGGTTTTTTGTTTGTTTGTTTCTCTTTTGAGGGGGGAGTTTTTTGTGGGGTTTTTTTGGTTTTGGTTTTTTTTTTTTTTTAGTTTGGTTGGTTGTGTTTTTTTCTGAATATATGTGTGTGGGTGGTGGTGGTTTTTTTCCTCCTCATCCAGAGAATATCTGCCCAAACATGTTTAACCCGTTTGGTTATGTTCATACATATCTCCTGATGGGGAGAGGATTTGGTCTATCAACAAGGAATGATCTGATTCAGACAGTTGTTTATGAGAAGTTCTAAGGTACTTTAGATGAACTTACTTCGAAAGGGAACTCTAAATTACCTCTCAAGGTGAAACCATTTGTTACCCTTTGTTTCACCTTGCAAATAAAATCATAGAGTTTATGTTGCAATATGTAACATTACCACTGTACACCCCTTCTGTTTTGGTTCCTTCTGAATTACCATAATTGAAGTTTGTTTACTGTAGCAACAGAAGCTGCCATTTACTTGGGATATCTTGTACTAAATCACTATATATATCTCTGTAGGACATATAAATCTAATTAAAATCAGGAATAAAACTTGAAATATTTCAAAATAATGGGTAACTTTCACTACTAGGAGTTCATTACAACAGAATAGATATCCATGTACACATATTGCATCTACAGAGATAGCAGATTATCTTCTGAGCTCAATACCTGTAATTGCCATAAAAGACGGGATGGTTCTGCATAGTCATTTATAAATGCAAATCTTCCCCTGAAAATACGGACTTGCCAATTTTAGACCAGTTTTTATTTATTTTTCAGAATAAAAGAGGTCTGAAAATAGAATGGCTCATTTTCAACAGCCTAATTGCAGGTGTAGTTAATAATAAACTAAAAGCAGTAACAATCTTTGAAAGCTGTATTGCTGCTGTTCTTTCCTGCCTCCTAGAAGTTTTCTGTTAAGCAATAATTATCTATACCCAATCTCCCTACTGTTAAAACTTCCTCTCAAGAAAACTTTATGGCTTTCATGAAAGAAGATGATTTCCACATGGACTTTTCTGTAAATCAACAGTGTCTTCAGAACTTCGTTTCAAGGAGAAGCAGGAAAATCAGATCTTGTACATAGTCAATCAGAACAGTGAGATGTTTAGAATCCTTGAACAGTTCAAACAGTACAAAACTGTGTTTACAGCTCCTTCAATAGAGGATTTTACATAGTGAAGGCTTGACTTTTCCCCACACACATTTTCAAGGCATTAAGCATGATTTTCTTCCTAAATGAACATGCCATATAAATGAACACACTAGGGATATTTAGAAAAGCTTCATGTTCTTCGACCATGCTTTGAAATAGGACCCTTTACACATTGTATATTATCACATTTTTTCTAGATGACTGAGATTCAAGACAAAGAGTTTAACTGTTGATTGCATTTATGAATTTCAACCTCTAACCTACAGCTCTTCTACCAAGTTAAATCCAAGTCAGCATTTCACCTGTCTTGTTCTCCAATGAAGCAACATTTCGTGGTGCTAACGAGAGGGCTTCCTCTCCCAAGAGCTCGTGTGGGGTATTGATTAATGGCCATTTCGGGCAGCATTTGGTTGCTGTTCAGAATGCCACGGCTCCTGTGCTGCTCTCTGGCAACAGCTCCAGCACACTCCCCGGGCTTCACTCCTGCTCACTTTTCCCGTTTTTAGACGGCTACAAGGAAGTGTCTTCCCTGCCTAATCCAATTTGTTTAATCTTTCCCACTCGTTTTTTGCCGCCTGAGCTGAGATAGTTTCCCCACTACTTTTTATTTTAAGAAGCGTCAGCTGCCAGCAGGTGTTTCAACATAGCAAGAGCTAAATCGAATCTCGGGCAAGAGAGCTCTCCCGATCTCTAGCCAAAGTTCCCAGCCGCTCTCCCCTCGCTGTCCCGGCCCGGGTCCCGCCCTGGCTCTCACCTGCCGGGGTCGGCGTGGCGGCCTCGGGAGCCCCCGGCGCGCTGCAGCTCCAGGTCGGCGGGGCGGGCGGGGGCGAGCGCGGCCGTGAGGCGGAGGCTGAGGCCGTTCACCAGCCGCCGCAGCAGC